ATATTTAAAAAATATATAGTTCTAGAACAAGATGGTTCTAAAATTTTGAAAAAAAAAAAATCTGAAAAAAGTCAATAGTTTTTGAAATAATGAGTGTTGTTTGATAAAAGAATCACCCTGTATATTTATATGAACATTTTATCATTCCTCATGAAAGTTAGATGTTATATTTTAAAATGGATAAGAAATACTGTTCTTAACTTAGCAATCCAGTCACAATCATAATTGTCAGTCTTTACGAATGGCCATTTACTGAWATATTGCTTAACYTCAATGTTTTCGCCAACATATTATATGTATAGGTAAATTATAATACTATTGGATAGTGATAATAATAATAATTATAACATAATATAATAGCACCGCGTGGTTTTTCGTACAATGGGGGGGGAGGGGTGATAAAGCTCCGCAAAGACTCTGTGACGACCTACGTATGTTTGTCGCACAAACATTATATTATTATTTAACACGTGTGACAGGGGAATGATGTTTAAAGCGTGCAAAGCAACTATATTATAATTATTTAGGCTACCGCTGTAACGTTGGTATTTTCTTGATGATACGAGATAATATTCGTGTTCGATGATGAGACGCGCCACCACGTGGCACATAACTTCGAGGAAATAGCTACCACCGCCAACATCACTCACTCCGTCATACTTAATGCAATATTTTTTTTATGATATCATACCGCCGTCATATTAGCATGCGTAGACATAATTTAACGATCGCCGAGGCGGCGCCTTAAACAATATAATATACAGTGTACCTATATATACCGTCTTATGTGCGTAACGAGCTAAATTCATTAAATTACCTATACAGCGGCATGTCGTACACGTAAAACATAGTATTATAATGTTACGTGGTGGTTGTGTGTGCGTGTGCGAGCGCGCTTGTGCGTGGATGTGGGTGTGCATCGGCTGTAAATGCATTTTCCCACTGCGGTCCAACGGCGTGGGGTTTRCGGCTTAACGGCCGTCAATATTGATTAATTCCGTACCCCGTCCGCGCGCCGACACGGCTCTGCGTGCTCTGACGTAGGGATTTCGGTCACCCGAGAGATCCTACGCCGCCACGCGAGTCGATTCTCGTCGTCATCCGATGGCCGACATCCTGTCATGGATCTTGGGTCGACATTTTCCAGCTAAGGTTTTGCCGCGTCGTCGCCGCGTGTTCGTTCGGTAACTAGTAGGTACGTTGGTTAGGAAGACAATTGGTTAAACTAAACGATAATCACCGTTTTAGTATGAACTGTTATGATATTATTATTATGGGTTTCGGYGAAAGCGAAGCTGCATTAAATAGGGGTGAGTGACAGCAAAAACACCTGYTCCCCTTGGGGGCAAGTTTTTAAAATTTGCAAAAAATTGTACAGTTCTTTCACATGATGTGTGTTTACTGTTTACCTTAACTAAATTACTCGCTATGTATTATACACCTAAAGGTTCCGGCCTTAGGACGTTTTATTTCGTGACTAGAAACATTGATAGTAATGTTTATAGATTTATCAAATGATATAGATGTGCAGTTTAACTACCTACTGTGAACTAATAAATATCAGTAGTTTTAAACGGCTATTGGAAACGTGGAGCCATAATATAAGTGTTATTAGTCATTTTTTTTTCTTGTAGTACCTAATAAATCGTATAGATTACCAAACATTGTTCATAAAACTGACAACGTTTTTATATAAAAACATGGAAGAAACAATGAGTTTTTATCGAATATTACTTTATAATGGAGCCAACCATTTATAAACGAAAATGTTGTTTCGATATATCAAAAAATTATATAAATTAATAATTTAAATAATATAAAATTTTAAACTAGGTTCTTGATATTTAATAAAAACTAAAATTTTATTATTATTCTAGTATAACATTATCATACCTACCTCTAATTTATTGAAGCGTTTAGTGGAAGACCGAGCAAATCAATTGTTCAGAATTGTACAGTGCGACCATTTCAAAATTCATTATCTCATTTATCTTTACGGGAAACGATTAAATATATACGTTTTAGTATATTTTTAATCGTGCTACAGAAAAWAATTTTTGGAATGAAATATAACAGGACACAGGTAGTAACTCTATAGGTTAGGTTAATCGAATTTGTATGGTTGGTATACCAATAGAAAGGTGTTTCTTCCATGGGTTCRGTTTCGTGAAAAAGTGATTTTACAAGAAAACTATATGTATGCCCCGGTTGTTTCACTGAGCGTTTCAATTACAATATGGGTTTACATTGTTTTTGTGACACCACGAACAGCAATAATAWTTATTATTATTATAACGTGCCAATAATGTGACGATTTTCAATTATTTGCCCTCTAGAAACACGGAGTCCGACTAAAATGTTCGGGTTGTCGCATCATCGTACACTCGGAATGTCTGGGTAATTTACCGGAAGCGGCAAAGTGCAAGTCGAGTTTCAAGGACGACGGTGTGCGACAGTATAGAGAACACAAAACGGTCAAACACCATTGGATGCATAGAAGGACGCAAAAGGACAAGTGCTCGCAATGCGGAAAGGTGCATATAATAATATTATTATTATGTTATTCAGCAGGGCTGAAACCAGTTTTTGGTATCACCCGGTTATCATATTTCYCGAAATTTTAAGGACTTAAAATCGTTTTCCGTTATTTTAAACCTATTTTCATTTACAGTTATCGGTTACCGGTTACCGTGAYGAATGTCCTGTTAACATAAAAGTTTTAATAACATAATAARTTTAAATCGGTTGAGAATCGATTTCCGATACGTCTAAATAACGAGTATTGACTACCGTTTCCTATGTATTATACTAAGTTTAATCTATTTTARCTAGGTACATAAATTATGATAATCTTGTAGCCACTAAAATAGTTTAATAATTAATAGTTTTTTAAAACTATTCTTAAACCATAGGTACTATGAACATAAGTGTTACTCAGTTTTTTCTAGAAAACCAGTATTTAATCGGCTGTTGGTAATCTACATTTTTTTAAAGGTGTTTACGTTTACTCGTTAACTTATATTATTGAATACAGTACCGGTATTGATTACCACTTACCACTAATAATAGAAGAGGTTTATAATCAGTGACTGGTATACATTTTTTTTTATTGGTTTGACGCCCTGGCATTTTCGATGACGATATCAAACCTGTTTAATAATCAATATTTTCAAGAAGAAGAATTCGATACGTATCGACTGAAAATAAATACGTACAGACTCGTATAAAGTCTAAGCCCGATACAGGTCGGTACGTATCACTTGTATATTGAACGTGTAACTTCTTGAACATTCAAAATTAAATCAATACACTMAWTAAAAATTACCTTCTTGAAAATCTTGAATCACTTTTACCTCACTGATCCGTTAAAACGGTCCGTAATGATTTTCTCATSTCTAATATTCACTGGTTTTTGTGTTCTCGACAGGCATTCCAGTCGGTGCTGTCGTTCAGTTCCAAGGAGATCATAGCGCTCACGTGCTCTTGGTGCAAAATAAGTGTCCACAACAAGACCGCGTGTTTCAACGACACGAAGATGAACGAACCCTGTTCTTTAGGTAAGCAATATAAAAATTTTATTTGTAAAATATCCATGCTCGTCAGACGTCAATGGTGTATTCCAAACACCGTCATTGTAATGCCTTACGTCGTGCTCTGCAGATACGATTTTAAGCGTTTTTTCTTTCTTTTTTATCCACCTAAATGTGATTGAAATAATAATTTATTTACTAGCTTAATCTCTAATACCGGATTATCGTGTAAATAGCCTATATACAGCTCCCAATTCATCAAATATCAAGCCACTGTATTAAATTTTTTAGTTTGTCTAATAAATTATTATTTAATACAAAATAAGTATTTCAAACAAAATTTCTWAAATTAAAAATTCATTTCAACAGGTCYTTAGAAAACTGAGCTCTTATACTCCAGGTCCACTGCCCCTCCCCCTTTTGCGAGCTATGTCTGTATATTATCTTAAAAAATTTTAGTTAATTAATAGTATTTTTGGGTATTAGACAAATATAATATAATGATATACGTCAAACATTATATATTCAATAATATTTAATAAAAATAAACAATATAATTGACGCAATAATATTACCTATTTATAAAATAATATGATTTCACTCGAGACAGATGCTACAAATATTATATACAATTAGCTGTCATCTAATCGAGCAACCACTCTTCGAAGGGGATAGCCAATCATATCTAATCAGATGATACCATTTTCAAMTAGGTCACAGCTTATAATAGAAACACACTCAGATGACTAAAGAATGAAGATGCAATTAGAAACGCTATACGGGTGTAATATTTAAACAAACAAACATATTTTGAAAAATGAAACGCAAGCGCGCAAAAACACAATAAAGCCATATAAGAATATAATATATAAAAACGGTATACGTAAGTATACGACTTTCAAACTAATGGAAGTTAAACACGCTCGCGCACTTTACACAACAGCATAGGTTCCTATAGATAATTKGATGCTCTTGAAAACAATAATGAAGGTCTTACTCGAAACCTAATAATGTTCATTATTTTCACGACCTTCGACTGAAAATGTGATTTACAAGCCATAGGTGATTAGAAATTCAATTTTCATGACCGTTTATACAGTTTGGAAAACAAAAACATAATTATCAACGTTTATTCGAGTAACTAGGTAGAGATACCTATAAAGCACGCATAATGCGATATTGGTCGAATCGAAATATGAGTAGATTAGATGATTAATTTTTGTTGCATAATACGTATAAATCAAGAATACCATAAAGATCAGTCGAAATACGAATCGCACGGGATATCGAAATATTGTACTAGTGATGAACCAAAAATTTTAATTTATACACCTTCAGACTTAAAATTCAACACTTATTAAAATATTAACATAAAATAAATTGCATTCAGCATTAATATTGTGGTATAGAAAAGACTTTGTTTACCATGAACTATTTTATATAAACATATTCAGTAGTATTGTTTTTACTCTTCAACGMGTCTTTTGTCGTAAATATTTTAAAGACTACATTATTAATCATTTTTATACGAGCGATGATAGAGAATTTTTATTTTTATCAATCAGATATTATATATTATTATGTCAGATATGTATAGTTATGTGTTGTGCTTAATCGGATATTTTATATTTGCCTTAAGGATTTGTTTTTTTTTTATTCACTGCAAATGTAGGTGCTCATAAATATTCAAAAACGATATCGGCTCTTAAAAGGTATTTATATCGACTCTTTAAGCCTCTTAAATTCATATATTGCCATACGAATTCGTATGCATAAAAATACTCACTTTGAGGAAGTGAAATAAATTACAACATAGGTACTATAAGTAGACTTTTTTCTCTACCACTTAATTATTTACGATTCACAATTTTTACATAATATTTTCAAATATTGATAGATTAATATAGAATAATACAATATTTAGAATGTTCTTGTATAACGAAAATTACCTACTCCTTAAATCGGAGCTAGTAGTGAAATATACAATATATTTTAAATTAAAATAAATAATTAAATAGTCAAATATTTATAGCATAGGTTAGTAAGATATAAAATATATATATAATCGTGTATCTAGCCCAAACCTTCCTTTCAACCACTTTATATATTTAAAATTTAAAATCAAGGACAGTCATTACATAGCTATCCATCAGATTTGGTGAAATTCAACTGTCTAGAATTTTAGTTGTTCGATTATTTAGCCATGATGTACAGACATAACTAATGGCTCGATACTATGCAAAGAGAGTGACCGCGTAAATTTGACATCATTGGAAAATTATTCCTCCGAAGAGATATAAGTACATAATATTCATAAAAGATTTATTATTGGATATTTTATAGTTTTGATCAATATACAAATCCCGATACATGAACGATGAACAGTTTGTTTAATTCATCACCATGAGATTAAGTAAATAAAGCTTAAATATCTATAAAAATGATTCAAAGTGGCGTCGTTGGTCAAAGATATATGTTTTGACTAAATATAAGCTCTCCAARAGCTTAACCCCCCGAAGCCAACTGCRGTAAGAAGTTTAGGAGCCACTGGCTGATTAGATTGAAAGACCTCATCTCTTTTCATATTTTCTTTTCATCACTTGAAAATACAAAAATTATTATTTAACCCATTTTATGTTAAACTTATCGATTTTAATCAACAAATAAATATGGGTCCGTACTTCAATCCTAGAAAAATGAAAAAAATATTTCATTTTTTTATTTTTATAAATTGACAGATTTAACATATTTTTTAATCATTATAATATTGAATGAATAAAAATTATTTTTTTTCTATAATAATATCATAGTCATTGTTTTAATGTCAATATTAGAAGTTTCTTATAAATAGTTGCCCAGTAATAACAAATTATATGAATTRATACCAAACGAAAAGAAACCTATTTAAGAACCTAGATAAGAACTTATTTAAAGCTAAATGAGTGAAATAGTTTCACAGAGGTATCCAGCATAATATTGGTCCACTACTCCGCTTATCGAAACTTTAAATACCTATAGTTAAATAATACGAATTATGATAACTACTCATTGCTCTTTGTACGAATTACAATTCTCAGAAAAATATTCTACTTTGGAACATGCAATTTAAATATATACTGCCAGTAATAACAGGAACCAAAAGAATTTAATAAGTCGTACATAATGAAATGACAAAAAAAAATTTAAAAAATTAGATATATATTTTCCTAGCCTAAAATCATGAACTTTAATAATTATCTTTAATATATAATATTTAATAACTATGAAACTACTCATTTAAATTTTGATTTAAAAACATTGAAATTCTCAAAAAAATTATACTGTTTCAATCCTTGACTAGTGGCGAATGGTCGATCACGATCGACGTTCGTCGCGATAAGATAAGGCTAGCTCGCTCGTCCTGACCCAGACCAGACCATTCGCCGGGTTCAGTCTGCGCATCGTTATCGTACGAAACACGCTTTAATATTTAAATAATTAAATAATAATTTATATAAAATAAAGTCTAAATTCTTACGAAAGATTAATATTCTTTTTTTTTTAAATATTATACAGTCCTATTTGTAACATGGTCCATATCGACCTAGATTATTGTCAGTGTTGTTCGTATTGTTTGAATTATTATTTTTTATCGTAGACCGTATTGCGTAGGCTCATATAAACTATTTAATATCTAGCTCTCTTAAGCTTATTTGAGTATTCGTTTATTTAGTGCGATGGCGAATACCAAATAACGTCTATTCGTATGAGAATATGCCTTTTTCGCATTTAATTTCTTTTTCGAAATTTGGTTCGCGTTCACAGTCCAGGAAAACAGCATAAAGGTTAGTCACCAGTAATTTCCTAATATTTTCTTGTACAAATTTTTCGTAAAATGTCCGAAATAAGTTCTCTGTTGTTTCAAAGGGGGCTATTTAAAGACCAACTGACTCGTTTCAGTAACTTCGTTCAAA